ATTCCAAACCAATTAGGGTAGTGCCCTGGGCGCATTGTTGATAGCAATAACGTGATTAGTAGTTGTTAATTTTTAAGCACAGACTATATACACTATATAAACTATGCCAAGGGTTTGGCTTATAGGATCTAGTTAGTCTGACAGTGCTCCAGAAGCTGAGGAAGGCAAGGACGTAACTCTTCTGAAGGAACCTTGTTCTAGGGACATCTTGAGTTCTAACCTTATTTTGGACTTTTGACCTTTAAAATCACAGATTGATAATTTTGTTGCATTTAAGCCACTGAGTTTGTGGTAATTTGCTACAGAAGCAACAGGTAACTAATACACCCATACTGCACCTCCTTCCCCCACCCCCCAAAGTGTGTCCATTTCCTCCTGAAGGTGGGACACTATCTGGCACCTCTCCTGGTTTCCACACTCTTCTTATCTCCAGTGTTAAGGAATTCATGGGGATGAAAGTAGAGTCCCATTTATTTACTATTTTTTAAAGCAGTTTTGCGATGTTGAACTGCTCTCTATATTTATTGGCAGAGCTAATTATATCATTAAAGTAAATATGGGAGTATGCACCACGTGAATGCACCCATCTGTATCAGCCAACGTGCACCAGATGTTACGCAAAACCAGTCTTCATTAAGTCAATCCTTCCTTCAGAGTGTTTTTTGCTTAAAACTCTGAAAACTTATTCTTATATGAAATTGTGGTGGGTCAGCACTATTTTTTGTTCTATCTTTAGGAAACACTTTGACGGTCGGCGCCTATGGCTCAAAGGAGTAGGGTGTTGACCCCATATGCCCGAGATGGCAGATTCAAACCCAACCCTGGCAAAAAAAAAAAAAAAAAAAAAAAAGGAAATACTTTGACTATAATTCAGCTTAATTAATTTTTTTTATTCAAGATTAGAAAAACAAACAGCCAAAAATTCTTTCACAGTAATACTACAACACATTACGTAGCAAAGGTGCAGATTTAGGTAGCTGGTAGCTAGATCTCCAAAAGTTTCTTAAGTATTTTCTTATACAGGGAGGCTTGCTGCTCCAGGCAAACTTTTCCTCCCTTCTTCAGAGTGGCTCTGCAGGGAAGAGAGAAGGGGGGTTGGAGAAGGGATCAGGCAGGGAGGGGAGAGCAGGGGAGGGACAGGCTGGGCCCTGACTGAGGCTCTTCGAGGACTCACATCACTTGGGCAGTGGGACAGTGGGGTCCGGCCTTGATCACCTCCAGGCTGGTAATGTGCTTGAAGTGGACCCGGGAGGTGGTCTTCATGCACAGGCATTGCGGGTCCCCAACTCCTCCTTCAGGGTCGGCTGAGGGTGCAGGGGAGGTGGGGACACAGACAGATGGGCATAGGGGAAGGAGTGGTGATTCCATGAGTGGCCAGGGAGACCTTAGGGATCATTTCTGCTAGCTCCGGCCTCCCTTTCCTTAGCCACCAATCATACCTCCCTTGGAAAGAAGCTCTGTCGGCTCGATGCAGCAGGAGCTGCCTTGCTAGGCAGGCACTGTGCAGCCCCTTAGCAAGCTCGGGACAAACATTAGGCGGTGTCATTAGCGTCAGGGCTTCCTCCCCAGCCCAGGGGCCTCCCAGGGTCGCCCTCCCTGCAGCTCCCAGTCCTGGCCCCTCTCCCTCTGCTCTCACCCTCTTCTCTGGCGCTGGCAGTGGCGAGTGCAGCGGTCAGCAGCAGCAGCTGCAGGAGCGGCAGCCAGGGGCTGGCCCGGGGGCGGGAGATGCCTGAGCCCGCTGGGAAGCTCATGTCTTGGAGATTCAGGCGCGATCTAAGTGCCCAGTCAGAGCCCGGAGGACAGCGGCTCCGCTCGTGGAACTCACCCAGCGCCTTTAATCCCCTCTGCCCTTCAGGTCCGGAAGCCTGGGGGGCGGGGGTTGGGGGGTGGTGAGGAACTGCGGTGTGGAAGCGCAGCAGCCGCTGCTCTGATGAGCCCAGCTCTGGCCAGGCAAGATTAGATTAGACAAAAAAAGCCTCAACAAAAGGCCGGGGTCAGCTGCCATGACTGGAGCTGGCTGCAGGATCCCCACCTCCACCTGGAATGTACATGCACATCTGTGGAGTCAGAAACAGAGCCTGAATCTTACAAGATGGGCCTTTTCTTTGTTACCTGAAATAGCAGAGTCCACCTAGTCACCGTGCCTCTGGCACCGCACACACCTTGGGGACCAAACGGCTTCTGTTTCCTCCCCACTCCGCATCCCGTGCCGGTCTAAGGGGTCCGTCCCATCAGCCTCTGTCTTCCTTCTTGATCGCTGCTGAGTCCAGTTTGGCAGCTGTGTTTGTTAAAGATGTGTTATTAGCAATTATTTCCTTTTACTAAAATGTCGAATTTGGTCTTTAGGCGATGACTCTTCTGAATTTCCCCGGAATGTGGAAGCCTCCCCCAGTCTCTTTTCTGGGGTTTCCAAGGCTCTCCCAATAATCAGCCAGTAGACTGTCGGAAGCCGGGTCTGTTATCCTCACTGCTCTTAGACAGATTACAAAAGTAGAGTCTGAATGCATACTCGGTATGCCTGGGTGTCCCTGCATTGGGTCCATCCTGGATAACATACCAGAAAGGAGGACAAGGAGAGGTTGTGGGATTCCATCTCCCAGTGCCTGCTGTGTCCACCGCCAGGACAGGGACAGGGACAGGGGCTGCCCTGTTGATGGGGAGCAGAGATGGTCTTTGTAGGGGGACACAGAGCATCTGGGAGTTGAGTAGAAGATGCTGGGGAGGTGAGGGTGGAGGGTGTGCAGTAGAATCCCACACAGGAAAACTGAGAAGGTCAACCTGGACTATCTTTCCTTCCCTGAAAAAGAATGACTTTGGCTCTTGATCAGGGCAGGTCCACCCTCATCCCAAAGCCAGAGGCTCTCTGCTACACTGATTAACCATGGAGAAGGAGTCAGGGGCCCACTGCACGGAGCTAGCTGATGTCCTGGTGACCAGCAGGACCAGACTTCTGCAGGAATAAGCAATTTAATAGTGAGGACTGGAAAGTTCTTTCTCCTGCTCTCCCACCATAAGCCTTTTCAGCTGCTTGATCTCACTCATGTGTCTGGTGTCAGCTTAAATGTCCCTCCTCGGAGGGTTCTTCCCTGATGTCTACTGACATATCTTATTATGGTCTATCTTATGCCACTCTCTGCTGTTCCTCTTACTTACAGATGATCAGATGATACACACATCCACACACATATTATACTCATAGATGTGTGTGTTTCAAGTTGTTCTGTTCTGTAAATGGCAAACTCCATGAAATTAGAGGTCGTAACTTTCATCACTACTGTAGCACACTGTTAGGGGCTCAATGTAAAGTAGTCATTAGTGAAGATAAAACGTTGAAAATGATGATGATGAGGCTCTGATATATTCACGTGTCTATTCCTTGATGTAACTGGAGTGTAACTCTTATTAAGGTAATTCACGGGCAGTGCCTGTGGCTCAAAGGAGTAGGGCGCCAGCCCCATATGCCAGAGGTGACGGGTTCAAACCCAGCCCTGGCCAAAAAAAAAAAGATAATTCACATGTAGTTGTAGTAATAATTATTTACCTGTTTGTCTCTTGTTGGATAGTGACCTCTTCCAGGGAAATACTTTATGACTGATATACAGTCCCATGCCACACAATGTCATTTGGGTCAATAATGTCCTGTATCCATAATGGTGGACCCATAAGATTATGATGGAGATGAGACATTCCTATTGCCTAGTGACATTTTGGCCATATTGAAGTCCTAGTACCCAAAGTATTGCTTGTGCTTTTGGTGACACTGGAGTATCTACTTTGCTGCCAGTCGTGTGACAGAATATGACATACAATTAAGGGCTCCCTTAATTATCTCCTTACCTTCATAGGCTCAATCCCTTAAAATGTTTTCTCTGTGAAATAAATGCATTTGTTAAGTAATAATTAACCAGAAGTATTCACAAATAAACATGTCCTAGAGCAAGAAGTAAGGATTGTGATCATTTTCATCATTTTTTTTCTCCAATAATTCAAAATAGTGCAGGCATCCTTAATGGTTCCCCACTGAAACCTGACAGGGCCAAGCTTCACAAGTCATGCCGTGGGTACCAGGACTTCAATATGGCCAAAATGTCACATGGGTAGTGCACATGTATAATACTTGCTAACGGTAATAACTATACTGCCATTATGTATTTACTATACTATACATTTAATCATTATTTTAGAGTGTGCTCCTTCCACTACTTACTCAAAAAAAAAAAAAAGTTAACTGTAAAACAGCCTCAGGCAGGTCTTCAGGACGTGTCCAGAGAAATGTGTGCTTTCCCTGGACATGACTGATGCCTCCATATCACTGCCCCTGAAGTCCTTCCAGTGGGACAAGATGTGGAGGTGGAGATAGTGACATCGATGATCCTGACCCTGTGTAGGTCTTGGGAAGGTGTGTCTTTGTGCCTTAGTTTTTAACAAAAAATGTTTTAAAAAGTAAAAAAAAAAAATAATTAAAAATATTAAAAAGCTCATAGAATAAGGATATAAAGAAAGTATTTTTTACACCTGCACAATGTTTGTGTTTTAAGATAAGTGTCATAACGAAAGAGGCAAAAAGTTGAAAAAAGGTTAAAAAAGTGAAAGAAGGAGTAAGTAAGGTCAATTTATTATTGATAAAAGAAAAAAGTTATGAATTCAGCATAGCCTAAGTGTACGGTGATTACTGTACAGTCTCCGGTATGTGCAGTAATGCCCTGGGCCTTCACCTCCACTCACCACTCCCTGACTCGCTCAAAGCAGCCTCCAGTCCTGTAGGTCTATTCCTGGGTAAGTGCCTTCTACGGGTACATGACATTTTATCCTTTATATTGTGTTTCTACTGTGCTTTCTCTACGTTTAGATGCACAGGTACTTACCATTGTGTTACGGCTGGCTACCCGCAGTATTCAGTCCAGGGGCATTCTCTACAGGGGTGTGGCCAGGGGCAGCGGTGAACACATACAGCCCAGCTGCGTGGTAGGCCAAGCCGCCCGTGTCTGTGAGTGCACTCCATGATAGGGAGAAGACGAGAGGGAGGGGAGGTAAGGGAGGGGGGAGAATGGGTGGAAGGAGGGTAATTGGTGGAAGGAGGGAGGGTGATGGGTGAAAAGAGGGTAATTTTACAAGAGTACATGTTAAATCTACTAAGTGTAGAGTACAAATGTCTGAACACAATAAGAAAATGCAGTGAAGCCTATGTTAACCAGTTTGATGAAAATATTTCAAATGGTATATAAAACCAGCACATTGTACCCCATGATTGCATTAATGTACACAGCTGTGATTTAATTAAAAAGAAAGAGAGAGAGAGAGATGGTTTGGAATAGGATGAGCAGCATTGTGGGTTTGCACAACTTTATCCCTGGATTTCAGTATTTGCAGCATAAAGAAATCCTAGCCATGGTGAGTGGCAATTTTAATACTCTTTCTCTGCATCTGAACAGAATAACTCAATACATAACACACAACAATAACAGACCCCTGCATTTCAAGACATATAAGCATAGAGCTAACACTATGGTGTCTGGCCCTGTCAGGTTTCAGTGGGGAACCGTTAGGGATTCCTGAGCTATTTTGAATTATTGGAGAAAAAAATGATGAAAATGATCACAATCCTTACTTCTTGCTCTAGAACATGTTCATTTATTAATACTTCCTGTTAATTACTACTTAACAAATGCATTTATTTTGTGGAGAAAACATTTTAAGGGATTGAGCCTATGAAGGTGAGAGGATAATTAAGGGAGCCCTTAAAATGCTAAGTGTGGGCGGCTGGACATGGTGGCTCACGCCTGTAATCCCAGCACTTGGGAGGCCGAGGCCAGTCAATTGCCTGAGCTCATGGGTTTGAGACCAGCCTGAGCAAGTGCAAGACCCCGTCTCTAAAAAATGTGGGAGCCTGTAGTCCAGCTACTTGGGAGGCTGAGGCAAGAGGAATGCTTGAACCCAAGAGTCTGAGGTTGCTGTGAGCTAGATGCCACAGCACTCTACCCAGGGTGATCAAGTGAGACTTTGTCTCAAAAAAAAAAAAAAAAAACTAAAGCAAAGTGTATGAACAACACACTCAGTACATGAGAGTGTCCCCAAAGCCATGCACCAGGAGTGGGCGAGCTTATTTTCTCTCTTATCACCTGGATGGTACACACACAATGCTGTTTGTGTGTCAAGTCCTAATATGTCTCGACAACACTAAACACACACACACACACACACACACACACACGAGTATGTATATGCAGTCATCTCTTCAATAGAGAAAAGGAATCACAAAAGTGGTGTGTGTGGGGAGCATGGTTTCAAATCCCCAGTCTCACCTACTTAGATATCGGATCTCTTGGCAAGATTTTTATTCTCTTTGAAATTCACTTCTCTTTTCTGTAATACTGGAGATGCTAATAGTAATAATTACTCACATTTGCAATGGGTTATAGTGTGACAGGCATTATTTTAATCACCTTGAATTTATGAACTCTTTTAATCCTCATTTAATCCTCACATCAACTCAGTGAGGCAGGCAATATTAGTACCCCCATTTACACATGAAGACACCAAGATACTCATGTACAAAGAGATTAAACAACCTGATCAAGGTTATAAGGGCTGAAAATGGTGAATCCAGATTACCTGGTTACTCTGACCCCAGACAATCTGCTCTTAATCAGATCATAGCTATCTTGTGAAATAGTGTTTAATTCCTGCACACAAAACACTTACTATTTCTGGCATATTAAATGTGATTAATGAATATGAGCTATTATACTACATTGAGAAGGGCACAGATCATGATTTCCATTGGCCATGTTGTGAAACATAAATGAAGAGATGAGACTTAAAGTTTTTTTCTAACAATTCTATTAACATTAATAATATATGACAACAAATCAATAGCAAATTTTGATTTCACATTGATACTTCTATTTTTAAAATGTGGCTATAAATTGCAATAGTTAGGAAATGAATAAAAGTTCTGTTGAACAACAATTAGTAGTCCACTAAAGCTTTAGTTCACTAAAATGATTACTTGCAAGGTCAATTCTAAAATTAAAAGTGTAAACATGCATGTATTAAATAAGCACTAACATACAAAAATGAGTCACGGTAAAACAATGAAAATCAAACCTTTTGTTACAGAAAATACTAGATTCTTTTTTAATGGATTAGGATAATCCTTTTTCATTATAGTATATTTCTGCTCTGCTATTGTTAAATATATTCTTTTTTTTTTGAGACAGAGTCTCCCTATGTCGCCCTTAATAGAGTGCTGTGGCATCACAGCTCACAGCAACCTCAAACTCTTGGGCATAAGTGGTTCTCTTGCCTCAGCCTCCCAAGTAGCTGGGACTACAGGTGCTACCACAATGCCCAGCAATTTTTTGTTTTTGTTGTTATAGTTGTCATTGTTGTTCAGTTGGCCTGGGCCTGGCTCGAACCTGACTCCCTCGGTATATGTGGCTGGTGCTATAACCACTGTGCTATGGGCGCTGAGTCAATATACTAATTTTAAAGGAAATAATCGCTACAGACAAGATTTGCATTCTACAACTTTATTATTTTTAGAATCTGAAGGCTAAAATTAACACTAGAAAAACCTTTCAAGGTATGCTTTGAGATAAGACATCCCAGGACTAAGACAATTAAGGATTCTACAAAGTCCCTAAATTTGTTTTCAAACATCCCTGGAGCAGCCGGGGGCTGTGCTCTGTGTGATTCCTCGTGCTCCTGACCAGGACGAAATCCGTGAATCACCGTGGGCTTGTCTAGGCTAACAGTGAAGAAGAGCAATAAAACATCAGTGTGTTTGGAAAGAAATTTTCAAACAAAGAAATGCAAAGCCCTGCACCAGATTCATCCAAAAATTAAACAGTAAACCATATATTAGTTATTGAAACTAGTTTTACTTATTTTCAACTTCTTTCTGTCATCCTTTAACCAGCCTTCTCACAATAAAATGTGATTTTAACACAGAATAAAAAACACATCCAAATTTTTATATAGTAAGAAAGGGTATTGAGGATAAGTAAGGATTCCAGAAAGCCGAGGCTTCGGCTCCTACCCTTCCTAGGAGGTAAAAAGATTTGGCGCAGAGTGAACACATAGATTAAGCAGCTGATCTGTCACCTTTCAGCATTTTCTCAACTATTTTCTTGATCCTTGGAGCATCTGGGTCCAGGCAGAGTTCCCTTCCATCCGTCAGTATAGCTCTGCAAGGGAGAACAGAATTGTCTATGGGTGTCCTGGCCTGAATATCAGAACAGATCTGAGTCAGGAGAAAATGGTGGAGGTGGGTGGAGGAGGGGCCGTCTCTAAGGAGGCAAGAATATGGAAGTGGGGACTCACATCACTTCCACTTTGTTGCAGTGGGCTCCTGGCTTGATCATCTCCAACTTCTGGATGTTCCTGGGATGAACTCCAGAGACCAGCTTCATACACATGCAGCGCAGTTCAACATACTTGTCAGGATTTGTGTGTTCACCTTGGGTAGAAAACACAACACCATTACTGGTCATGGTTATCTGCCTTAGTTCCCCTATGTTGGGGATAATTGTTCCCCACGTAGGCCATTGTGAATATGATCTGTAAACCTCAGGTGAAGTGCCTCGCAGAAGGCTCAGCTCAGGGGAAGGGCCCACTAGCGTGCCCCTCCCATTTAGAGTTGTTAGTATAAGGTGGGTCTCCAGCCCCAGGACCACCCACATGGTCTTTCCCCAGACACAGAGGCAACAAGACCAGCCACAGCTACAGGGAAGCAGAGCCTCTCCCTTCAGCTTTCCCTGGTTTCTCTTACTGTCTCCGATGGTGGAGGGAACCAGAGCGGCCAGGAGCAGTGACAGCAGCAGCAGCACCTGCAGGGCATGCAGTGGCCTGGCTCTGTAAGAGGAGATGGTGGTGGCACTTGGTCTGAGGATCATGGTGGAGATTGAGCTAGTGGTGTTTCCAAAGCCAGAAGCCCTCAACGTGGGGGTGAGTAGCTGCCCAAATCAGTCTGCAGCTAAGTGGCTTCCCATGCCCTCCAGATGTCTTTATATACAGTTTCCGAAGGCCAGTGGGCGGAAGAGGTGGGGTGAGGCGGTGAGGGCATTCGTGTCATGTACGCATGAGATTATCAGGCTGTGCCCAGCCCAGATAAAGACCAGGCAGGTCATCCTTCCTGTCTGGTTGCTTTTTATGCCTCATTTCTGCTCCTTTCTCAATCCCTGTCTCCCCTGCACACGTAGGAGCACTCTGCCTGGGGAGGTGAGAGTGACTCTGAAACACCACCTATGCCTGTGACAACATGCCCTCCTTTCCTCCCTAAGTTCACAGGCTCAGTAGACTCTTCATGAGCCGTCGAAGCTCAAATATGTGGGCCTTGAAAGACAGAGCTACATTTCTTTGCCGTTGTCCAAGAAAGCAGGTTCTCCCGTCCTGGTTACTGACAATGTTGGGATTGGTTTGGAGTTTGCAGGTAAAATGTGACCAATGGCCAAGAAATGGTCATTTTGCATGTTAGCCTATGGGCTTGTTCTTTCTTCTAAATGCATTTGGTTTTATAATTTTATCTCGAAACTAGAAGCAGAACTCACCCTCCTTCATATTACAAAATAAGCTACTTGTTTCTACCACCCGAGAATATCCTAAAAATCAAGACTCGGCATATTTACTTTTTCCTTTTATTTTTAATCTAACAGAAAGATATAACTTGTTGTAAAAGACTCATACACTGCAGATATAGGGGAAATAAAACATGAAAGTTCTCTAGTGTAACCACTGGCAGCAATCTGGCGTTAGTTTTCTCTCTGCATTCATAGGACACGTGTACACTTATGGGCATGAGCGGGACACATATGTAATGTGTAAGGAAACACACACATGGAAGTGTGCACATGCTTTTTAAATATAAGTGGGATTATTCTGCGTAGATCATTATACAACCTACTTTAGTGCTTCACAGATATGTGCCTGGCATCCCTTCATGCTAGCTCAGGGGAGTTTTGCCCCATTTTTTTTAAATAGCCACCTGACGTCTTACAGTGGGGACACTAATAGTTCAACTGCTACCTTAAGCAATTGTTGATGACCTTAATCATGTTTCTAGCTTTGCACTATTGCAAACTGTAATAAGACATTTGTTCCTGAATTCTCAGGCTGATTAAATGTCTCAGTCTGAAATGTGCATGATAATAAACTAACTGGGCAGAGGGACAGAGGCCCAGCTGTGTTTCATGCTCACCCCATGCTGTCCTGTGGGTCTCTGTCCCGTCTACAGGATTTGATTCATCAACTGAACTTACAGTTTTGGAAGCAGAGCTTGGTCCTAGGTGTCTTTGAGTGTGTTCTGTAACCTTACACGTGTAGGATAATGCAGAACACATAAGATCTTAGTGTTAGTACATCAGTGACTATCAAGGAAATGTCCATTTTAATCCGCTGTAATTCCCAAATCAAGCTCCATATGACCCAAAGCACCTGTGGTGCGAGACGTGTTCTGGAAGACGGGGGAGAAGGGGGAAGGCAGATACAGGCAGCCGGGGCCACAGCTGTCTTCCTATTACAATTCTGTATAACTCATACAATATTATTTAAATTTCTCATAGTTTTTACTCTTTATACCTTTAAAATTTTAGAAGAAATTCTCAAAATTGTAAAATACAAAATTACTTTTTTAAAGGAATGAATATAACTTTTCCCTTCACATTATTTTTAAGTACTTGAACCAATTATTTCTGTAGTTTAATAATTTCTGACTATGCCGACCTAAGTTCTTAGATCCTGTTTTTGATATCTTTTATATTTTTCTTTACCTCAACTTTTCTTTTCAATTATAGTTTAGCAGTAGAGCTTGTTAAATTAGCATGATTTTCCCCCTATTCCAACAGAGAAATTGGTCATCTAAGATGCAAGCTGGCAGAAAGGGCTTAAGCTGAAAGTTATTATTCCTCTAGCAGCTGAGGTATGGAGTCAGTTGCAGACAGGAGCTCCACAGGAAACAAAATGAGGAGCGTGCTTCCTTCTAGTTCTTTCTGAGCAATGTCTTTATAGCTTTTTCTCATTACTATCATCGAAGTGTTGTTAATTCTCAAGTCAAGTATTTTTATTTAAAGCCAAGCTCAGAGCCATTTCCAGAGCAACATACAAAAGCTTTTTTAAATTATTCATAGTATATTTTTTTCCCCTTTTCATCAGAACTCCCCAAAACATATTGCTGAGAATACTTACGGGCTTTACTGAACACTTTTTTCTTCCGATACTTATACTGTTAAAAGTTCTTCTCTGTTTCACTTTAAGGTTACCTAAAAGTTACTAATCTTTCAGAAAACTCTATCAAGTGATTTTCTTAATCAATACCTGTCTTGTCACAAAAGATGATCATCAGCAAGGTGTATGAGGAAGTATTAACAAATTTTTTTGTCATTAAAATTCTTAGGCCTATTAGCATCTGATATAAAGCAAGTTTTTGCTAGGTTTCATTTATTCAAGACATTGGCTCAGCATCACTGCACGTGCCGGGCACTATAAAGTCCTCTTCTTTTTTTTTTTGCAGTTTTTGGCCAGGGCTGGGTGTGAACCCACCACCTCCGGCATATGAGGCTGGTGTCCTACTACTTTGAGCCACAGGCACCGCCCCTAAAGTCCTCTTCTTTGTGTGCATTGGTCATTTAACTCTTTCTTTTAAAAAGTGAGATCTAAAATGTTTCTGCAGGACACTGGGATGTAAAGATCCCTCTGCCATTACAGCCACTGTCACAGCGCCTGTTGTTCACTGCTGTTGCTGTCACGTACATTCTGTTCAGTTTCAGAGATGAGAGACACAAATGGTGATAGAGCAACTGTTTAAAAATGTTTAAAAGATATTTTAAAGTCAGTTACTGAGTTAAAAGATGTTTGCTTACACAAACTTAGGATTTAGATGAATGCTAGCAACAAAAACAAGTGCCAGAGGTTCTTGAGTTTTAAAATAATGTGACAGTCTTTTTATGAATTTTGCATTGTCACCCTGGGGTATTTTTGGTACATGTGGGTGGAAAGTTATTTTATCTCTTTTTCCTTTAAGTTGTCTTATATGGAGAGTCATTCAGGAAACAAGTAAGCTTTTCTAAGACTCAAAATGGAACTTATCTATTAGCTATTAAGAAAAAGCATTTAGAGACATTGGAGCAACATTATCCATTAAAATGAAAACATTAAGATTCTGTCTCCCTTACACAGAACATTTTGAGCTGACATTTCCCAAATTCTTCTTCAAAGTATAAAGGAAATAAGCTGTCACTTGCAAATCAGTTAGAAAAGCAATTGATACAGAGGATCCTAGTAAAATTTTGGGTCACATGTTAAAGTATTTTAATCAGTAAATCGAACGAGTAGCTAATGAAAGAATTTCTATAAGTGCTAAAAGCAAATGTGGTTTCTGGGTGGCTCTAAGTTGGCAAGAATTGTCCAGACCTGTTTCTCCAGACCTCCAACTAACTAAGGTTCTGCTGCCTTCTGCCCAGAGGTGAAGGGTGAGATCCAGGCTGGATAGAGAGGGAAGGCGGAAGGGGGGGATACTGGGGGAATATTTTCCTGGGTGTGTTTGCAGGCCTAAAAATTTTATTTTCTTTTTATGTTGGTTAATATCATTTATTAAATGCATGCATTTCACCACATATATTTAGTCCTTTGAGGGAATTTTAATGCAATGTTATTCTGGAGCCTAGAAACACATTAAGTAGTTACAACATAACTGCAAGTCAGCGTTAAATGGCTTAAAATAACAGTTTACTATGCTAGAGCTTCCATAGTTGGCCACCTCCCTACTTCACCCCCTCCTTCCTCACGTTGACCTTATTTCCATTGACAGGACACACATTGCGCATGCTCAGTGGGAGCTCCTCCTGGGACCACCCGATAGTACTGTGACCAGTTCCTTACTGTCACTTGGGCAATCGGTTTATAGAGGTTGTTCTATATTTGTGTTTAGCACGGACTTCAGTCTATGAAGTAGAGGAGAAAATTGTTTCCTGGTGAGATAAATTTAAAGAGGGTGTGGAGAAGGTGGGTAAATTCATCCCTTTTAGGTCACGCTGGGGGGGCATACTTACAATAGTGATCCCATTTGTGAAAAAAACTAAGTATGTAAACAAAACACATGTAGCCCCCTAATATTCTGAAATAAAAATTAAGAAATAAAGGTACAAATAAATGAAACTTCCTCTAAACCTGTTTCAGCAATTCAAGTGGAAACAATTCTCTGATTTGATTATAATTATCTACATAATAACGATAAACTTATTGGCCAAAGTTTTATTTTTAATATAAAAGAATGCTTGTTAAAACTGATCCATAGGGATAATGTAATTTTAGAAAATGTTATGGCAAATTTTTAATATGTGATAATTTTCTAAGCTAACTATATGGGGAATAAACATTAAACTATAATAAATTCTGTTAGGAGTATATTCAGGGGTCTACTAATGGAAATGTAAAGTTTCTTAGGAAGAAAAACACAAATGTGTGGCCACTCACTTAAAATGCTGAAACTATTGAATGGGAAAATTTTATAAGACACTTTCTATACATAGATATTATTATAATATGATTTCCCATCTTTTCTTGTTTCCCTAGACTTATTGCTAAGATTTAATTATATTTCCTACCTCAATTTTTCCTATGAAAGATCTCCCAAAAAATGAGAAATCTGGGTGAAAAAATGGCCTCATTCACATTTTTGCTGAGACTCCTCTGTCCTTCTCTTTAAGGAGTGTTATTTTAATTGTCAGAAATAACAAAAAGGAAGGAGGGAGGGAGAGAAAAGAGAAGGGGAGGGGAGGGGAAGGAAGAGGAGAGGAGGAAGGGGGAAGAGGGAAGAAAGTAGAAATGAAGTTTAAAAAGAAGACCACAGATACAGGCCTCCTCTGCTTCCTGCTTTCTTCCCTGTCCCCTCTCTCCTCCCTGCTCTCCCATCTTTCCCTTCTCCTCCCTTCTGCTCTCCCTCCTCCCCTCCACTGGCCTCTCCCCTCC